CAGCGGCCCGAGGCGGTGGTTGAAGGTGACCAAAATGACGTTGCCCCGCGTGGAGATCTCCTCCCCGTCGTACTGATAGTCACTGAAGAACTTTAACCCTTGTCCGGCTCCAAAGAAGAAGGCCCCTCCGAAGATCCAGATCATGACAGGCAGGTTCTGGGAAACTGAGGGAGGAGAGCAGGCCCGGTGACCCCAGCTGCCCCTCCCCATCCCCTCTGGGTGCTTGTTTCAGGGAATTTCAGCTCTGGAGCCCACAACAGCCAAGGGGGTGGGCAGGGCTGGGCCTCTGGCTGCCTGGGCACTTTCTGCAGGTTCAGGGACCAGGAAGAGATGGGGTGGGGGGATGCACCTTCCTTCTTGCCCTGGGGGACCCAGATGTTGAGGTAGAGGCAGTCCTCGGAGCCCTCGGTATTTAACTGGGTGAGAGTGACTTGCAGGCATCGCTGCTTGAAGTCCTTGGCCTTCAGGGTCCCTGTGGGTGACCAGAGGGGCTGGCGTGAGGATGGTGGCCCCATCCCCCACTGCAGGCACAGGGCCAGCCCGGCACCCCCCACCACCACCATCTCCCACCTTGCCAGCCAGGGTGCGGCTGGGGGTTCTCCAGGGCCTTGGGTGGGGCGGCGAAGGGGATGCCCTTGAAGACGTCCACAGAGTTGCCGCCGAGGAAGCCGAGCTTCTTGTTGACGCCCTCCACGAAGCCCCCTTCCGTGTGCACCACGCCCAGCTGGGGAGAGGGCCAGGCTCTGGGGGCGCAGGCTAGGCGGCCAGTGGGGTGGGGCAAACCCAGCAGGCTCTAGGGGTCCAGGACAGCTTCAAGGTAGGGACCCTAGTCACGACCGCCTGTAGCTTGGGTTCCTGTGGAAGCCCTGCTCCTCACCCCATGGCAGAGCCCTAAGGAAAGAGATCCTGTAGATGCCCCGAGGCTCCCAGCTCCCCCTGGAGGGGCCCCGGCCACTGGCAAGCAGGTGTGTGTCGCCCCTCTCAGGGGCTGGGGGCCGGGGGCCGGGCTCGGGTTGAACTAGACTGAGGTCCAGACTCCTGTTCCGACGCTGGGGGCTGTGATGGGCAACCTGCTGGCCTGCTCAGGGCCCAGCTCCCTTCTGTGCCGGGACATGGCCATCCCCGGACAGAGGAAGAGCCAGAGGGCCCTGGTGGCCAAGGCGGACTCCGCAAATCAGCACTGAGGACGCCAGTGACACTGGGGTTTCGGTACACGGTGCCTTCTTTGTGTTTGGCGTCAGTGCACCCTGTGTGCCCTGGAGAGCGCCTGTCCCAGAACTTATTCGTGGTTTCTGACGTTCAAGTTCGAGGGCGTTCTGTATTTGAGCTGCGCCTGCGCCACAGTGTGAATGCGGATGCAAGAGCAGAGGAAGGGCCAGGAAAGTGCCTGCTGGGTGTGGGCTCTCTCCAGGGCTCTTCCTGCCAGCGCCTCACCTGCCTGCCCCCCTTCACCCTCTACCCTCCCTACCTCCCATCCGAGGTGCCCGACCCAGTTCCCAGGCCGGGTTAGGGGAGCAGACAGGGGCCCCTCCTCGCCCGCTGGGCTCTCGCTTACCTTTGCTGCGCTCACTACTGCCAAGCAGCAGGTGAGGCCTAAGACAGCCAGCTCCAGGCGCCCCATGGTGCGTGTGCCTGTCTCGGGGCCCCTGCCTCTGAGCAGGGGTATTTATGGGGCGGGAGCCATCCGGGAGACATCCGGGAGCCGGGGCTGGCAGCTGCCTGTGGATGGTTCCCTTCCCCTCCCCTCCCTCTGCCCCTTCCTCCAGGCAGGATAGCTGCCATTTCCAGCCAGGCTCAGGGCCAAGGTCATGCAGGTGTGAGCACACAGACACTCACATACACAGTCACATGCATAGCTGCCCTTTCCAGGCGGGTTCAGGGCCAAGGTCATGCAGGTGTGGGCCCACACATACACACGTGTGCACGGGTGCAGGGATGGTCCGAGTTGCCCATGATCTGCTGTTCCCGGGTGCCTGGTGCCCTCAGTGCACCTGGGCTGGTAACTGGAAATAGTCATGTGGCCCAGGCCAGGGGCTGAGGGTTGGGGCCTTGGTGGGTGCAATTGTGGCTCATTGACAAGGGCCTGGGCTCACCCTCAGAGAAGGGGGCCTGCTTCCCTCCAGGCCTTGCCTGGCCCCCGCCTCGAGCTCCGGAGCCTAGTAAAGGGAGTTCACAGGGGACTGGGCATGTCGCCTCCGGACAGAGAGGGCTGTGTGCTCCTGGGCAGCCACGTGGCTGAGCCTGGGTCCGAGGGCCCACGGGTGTGCAGTCCGAGCTGGGTGTGGGGACCCAGAGCAGCACAGGGCGGTCCTGCCCTCAGGGAGGGCACCCCTCACACTCAGCACCAGCAGAGAGACATTAGGGTGGGGGTGGGGGTGGGGGTGTGGGGGAACAGACAGGAAGACAGAGGGAGAGACAGAGATAATGGAGACACAGAGGCAGAGGGAGAGAGGTCTGAGCAGAGTGTGTGAGAGCAGAAAGGCAGCGTGTGGCTCAGGGAGCGCGTCTCACTCAGGAACCAGAGGAAGCTCCATGGACAAACCCAGGGCTCCTGTCTTTGTGGAGCTGGCAGCACGGCCTTCTCCAGGGTTGGGGGTGCATTCAGGGCCCGGGACAGCAGAGCCCTCCCAGGCCAGCGGCCCCTCAGCCCTTCGCGACCAGGAGCCGTGCTTGTACGCAGGCCACAGCCCGGCTCACGTCACGCCTGGGGCTGTGCCCAGCACCACATGGATCCACAGACACCGGCCATGCTGGCTGCCTGCTGATCCGGAGCACAGGTCTCCTGGGATGCAGGTGGGGAGGGGGCCGCACAGTGGGAAGCAGGAGCCGGGCAGGCTGGGCCTGTGGGTGAGGACCGGGGAGCAAAGGGTTTGAGGGTGCGTTTGTTAACAGCCCAAGTGCCCATCGGTAGATGAGTGGATAAAAAGCTGTGGTACATTCACACCATGGAATACTATGCGGCTGTTAAAAGGAAGGACCTCTTACCTGTTGAGACAGCCTGGAGGGACCTGGAGGCTATTATGCTGAGTGAAGTAAGCCAGTGGGAGAAAGACAAGTGTCACATGATCTCACTCATGTGGAATCTAATGAACCAAATAAACTGAC